AGTGCTGCCAATAGGAGGATTTCCTAGGTGTCAAGAACAATACCACTTTACAACAGCCGATACCCCAAAGTACATCAAAATGAGTTTGCTGATTCCAGATATTTTCAGCAGCGGCCAAAGAATTATCATAACAAGCTAGCTGCTGTCATGTGGGGGTATTATTGTGGAAGATCTTGCCTTTACGGGAACAAATAATGTGCCTTTTGGAGAACAACTTGCCATACATTGCACAACAAACAGTAAACAGAGTACTCATCTGGATAAGTCAGTATTGAGTATGCAGAGTAAGAATAAAATCTCTCCAGGGACAATAAGAGTTGCTTGCTTATATTAGGTCAGTCTACCAATTTACAGAGACTACTTTTGAGAGCTATCTTCAAACAGCCAGTTAGCAATCCTAGACCCAAGCACTGTACCACCAGTGAATTATCTGAAGAAATTAGTCTCATTTACACGCATCATACCTAGTTGCACCTACTATACTCAACAGAATGCCACCAGTAAGTCCTGTAATCTGATTGATTGATTGATTGATGGACCTTGTCTTTCCCCTGAAAAAAAGCCCAAGTTAGCCTATATCATTCAAAAACAATATTTAAAGCAAAACCCAATAAGTATACAAATACTAACAAGGATTTTAAGAAACCACAGTAAAAGATGGTAAACAGAATCAAGTTAGCCTACATCATTCAAAGACTATATTTAAAGCAAAACACAATAAGTATATAAATACCAACAAGGATCAAAGAAATACCACAGTAAAAGGTGGTAAACAGAACCAATACCAAAAATACATTCAAAGCCTGCCTGCTCACTCGCTCCCCACTTGTCTGCTTGCCCTCCTCACTTGCTTACCTGCCTGCCCGATTACTTTTCTGCTCCAGTCGATCACTTGCCTCCTCGCTTGCCCACTCACCCTACCCCCAATCATCCCCCAATCACTCACCCACCTGCCCACACCTCAGTCAGCTATCACCATGCACTCCCACTCTCACTCCCTCTTCTCCTTTCCATCCCTTTCCCTCTCATCTCCCTGCTCCTTCCTTTGCATTCTCTCTGTTGCCGCCTCCCTGTCCCCATCCAGCAGAGCGAACTGATTGGAGATGGTGGCAGCACTGGCAATGTCATCATCAGAGGCTGCAGTGGCAGTGGGGAGCCCAAGGTGGCGGCGGCAGTGAGGATGAACACATCAACACAAAAGTTTAGGATTTGGTCTATGTGACTTTAGACAATTAAAAAAAAAACAACAACCCCACCCTGATTTGCTAATTCATTCCACATCCACTTTCCATAAGACAGCTAATCAGAATGATTCAAATTTCTCATAAATGATTGCTCTGCACACATACTGCTAATCAGTACCAGTGCCTGCTATTCTTTAGCAGAAGTGAACGAATTTATTGGTAGGATTTATTTCTCATGTGCCCATATGGGTTTATTGCTCACATTTTCATTAATTTTCAGTAATCACATTTCCCCCCTCTTAATAGTTGTTTGACTCTTTTTACTGGGAACAAAAAGTCCAGAATCATTCTACTCCCGGTTCATTCTTAGCTTTTCTCAAAAAGTACTTATAAAATAGATCCAACAAATGATTGCGGAGAATAGGGCAATAATTTTATCTGTGTTAGAACAACAGATTCTAGACATAATTGTAATTAATTTTAAAGCAATTGCAGAATTATGAACTCTAGCTATTAATACAGTATATTAGCTGCCCAGAGTAGACTTCGGTCTAGATGGGTGTGATACAAACAAACAAACAAACAAACAAACAAACAAACAAACAAATAAATAAATAAATAAATAAATAAATAAATAAATGTTCAAGAAGAAATAGAAGACTGGCTATGAAAAGGAAAACAAAAGCAACATTTAAAAACCAGACCAAACAAAAAGAGCTGTGCTATTTTGTTCTTTCATTATTGGTAAAGGCAAAAGAAGAAAACTAGAACAACTTGAGCAAAGGAAATCCATTATACATAGGACTGTTCCTAGCATCTGGAGCTCAGTTCCATAGGGACACTTAGATTTTTTCTAAGATCTAAGTATACCATTACAGAGGTGCCCCGCATAGCGATGATAATCCGTTCTGGAAATATCATCGCTATCCGGATTCGTCGCTATGTGAAAAGAAAAAGCCCATAGGAATGCATTAAACCCAGTTTAATGCGTTCCTATGGGCCTAAAACTCACCTTTAAGCGAAAATCCTCCATATGGCCGCCATTTTCACTGCCCGGTATGCGAGGAATCGGCGTGAAAACACAGCGGGCGGACATTTTTTTCCGGTGGCCATTTTGGAACTGCCAATCAGCTGTTTTTAAAATATCACTATGCGAAAATCGGTAAGGGAAACAGCTTACCGATCATCGCAAAGCAAATTTTTACCATTAAAAACATTGCAATGCGATCGCTTTTGCGATCACAAAAAATCCGTCGCTATGCAGATTCGTCGTTAACCGAGGTGCTCGTTAAACAAGGCACCACTGTATTTGCATATTTCTTTATGGTCCAGCTTTCACTTCCATACATCACTACAGGAAAAACCATAGCTTTGACTATGTGGACCTTTGTCGGCAAGGTGATGGCTCTGCTTTTTAAGATGCTGCCAAGGTTTGTCATCACTTTCCTCCCAAGAAGCAGGCGTCTTTTAATTTCGTGGCTGCTGTCTCCATCTGCAGTGATCATGGAGCCCAAGAAAGTAAAATCTGTCACTGCCTCCATATCTTCCCCTTCTATTTGCCAGGAGGTGATGGGACCTGTGGCCACGATCTTAGGTTTTTTTATGTTCAGTTTCAGACCGTTTTTTGCACTCTCCTCTTTCACCCTCATTACGAAGTTCTTTAATTCCTCCTCACTTTCTGCCATCAGAATGGTATCTTCTGCATATCAGAGCATTTTCTTGCTTGCCCTGGCTAGGGATAGGGAAAATGTTGTTGTGTTCCAATTTCAGTAAGTATTTAATAAATTCTCGCTCCTTGAATTCTCACCTTCCAAAACTGAGTGATGCAATTCCTGTAGCCAAGAAGCAATGAAAATAATAAGTACAAAGATAAGTGCATACAAAAATTTTAAATATAGGCGGGCAGAAAGTACAAACAGCATGTGAGAAATGTACTGCTTTGAAAAAATGAATACAGTAGTGCCTCGCTTTACGATTGCCCCACATTACGATGAAACTGCTTAATGACGATCTTTTTGCAATCACAATTGCGAATCGGGAACCGATTCTTCGCAAAACGACGTTTTCTGAACAGCTGATCGGTGGTTTCAAAATGGCCGCCGGGTGATTAAAATGGCTCTCCGCTGTGTTTAGGGACAGATTCCTCACTACACAGGCAGTGAAAATGGCTGCTGTATGGAGGATCTTCGTTTTTACCCCATTGGAATGCATTGAATGGGTTTCAATGCATTTCAACGGGGTTTTATTTTCGCTTTACGATGTTTTCGCTTAATGGCGATTTTCCTGGAACGGATTATCGTCGTTAAGCGAGGCACCACTGTATTGTAACAAAAACATGTACAAAATGTATATACACTGTGAGAAATAGACATGGAAAAGCATACAGTTTTTATGTAGATTGTCTTCTGAGGACAGAGTCACAAATTAATGCAAAATGTTATTTTAAAAAATGAGAGACAGGGTTGAACAATATGCTCTGTTAACCACATGCAGGCATTTATTTTAGCTCTAGAATTAATGTGCATAACCTCAGCCTGGATTGGGACCAACATGGCTTCAAGCTTCCCAGTCTGTTTTTTATGTAACAGTGGTGAGCAAAAGGGCCCTTCTTTGTTGCTGCTCCCCGACTTTGGAGCACAAAGTCCCACAAGTAGCTAAGCTGGCCTCATCTTTGCTGTCCTTCCGCAAGCAGGCAAAGACCTTTCTCTTCAGGCAAGCTTTCCCTCAGTGGGGTTTTGTCTGGGTGCGGTTTTTTAATGGCTTGTTGTGCTTTGAATATGTTTTTGTTGTTACTTTTGTTTACCATTTTAGTATGGTATTTGCTTGGCTCTTTTTAATATTTGTATACCAAAATGTTTTAGTTTTACATATTGTCTTTTAATAATGTTAGCAGCCTTGGATCCTTTTTAAGGAGAAAAATAGGGTAAAAATATTTTAAGCAAAGAAAACCAGATTTAAAACCAGCTGGGGATTGATGCCTTTGAATTGTGGTGGTGGAGGAGACTCTTGAGAGTCCCCTGGACTGCTAGCAGAACAAACCTCTCCATTTTGAAGGAAATCAACTCTGAGTGCTCACTGGAAGGACAGATCCTGAAGCTGAGGCTTCAATACTTTGGCCATCTCGTGAGAAGAGAAGACTCCTTGGAAAAGACCCTGATGTTGAGAAAGTATGAAGGCAAGAGGAGAAGGGGATGACAGAGGATGAGATCGTTGGATAGTGTCACCAAAACTACCAACATGTATTTGACCAAACTCCGTGAGGCAGTGGAAGACAGGAGAGCCTGGCATGCTCTGGTCCATGGGGTCACGAAGAGTCAGACACGACTTAACGACTAAACAACAACAACAACGGGGATAGATTAAACTTCTTCCTATACTGAATGAAGCATAGGGGGGTTGAGTTGAGCCCCCCCCCGGCTCAGCAAGTGAGCCATCCCACCTTCCTCTATTGTGTAAACTTGTCCCAATGGAGATCAATAATTTAGAATCAACCATCACACATTTGGAGTGTCTGTTTTTAGAAAGATGAATAATATGTGTTTAATGTATTGTGTAGTTGGATATTCAGAGGAGCAACATTTAACAGATCATCTATTCTGAAGCTTGCATTATGATGCTTACTGTTTCCAGGCTTCCATTTCATGCCATTGATACCTGTTGATGAAGCAGACAACAAAGCACTCAGCATACAGGCAGATAGGCTTTGAGATGGGCAGCCCTCTCTTTTGGCAGCAGTTCAGCATTTCACATAGAATGTGTTTCATTTCTAGAGCACAGTAGGTGTACTTGACATGTTATTGCCTTTCTGTTTCTCAGTGCCAGACTCTCCTTTATTCCAGTGCAAAGCAGCCCTGAAAATGCAGATCTTATCAATGGCAATCCACCACAAACACCAATGCTCTTTTTTTGGCCAGAGCTGTTTTCATTCAAGTTATTGTTTCAGGACCGCATCCAGATTTTTGACCAGGTAAAACTTATTATAATTCCTTATAAGTAAGCCTTCTTATCTGTACTTTTCTTTGACTTGCTCTGGAAGGGTGCTTTAATTTTGCTTGATCATGCTTTTATATTCCAGGATGCATTTGCCATTAAATTTCCAGGCAGTGCCACTTCCCTGGACAGAACATCAAGGCCATTTTTCATGTCCATTCAGCCAGCCTTGTATCTTTTTAGTACAGCTGCTGTTGCTGCTGCACCAGCATTAACGAAGGTTTGGGCTAGCAAAGAGTTAAAAGCTTTTCTTGTGTTCTTACTGGGTTGTAAAAGGAACTGCTGGAGCTGATCAATGACCACTGTTAAGACCTGGAAACCAATTATAAACTTGAAATTTGTGATGAACAAAGCTCTGAAACGCTGGGATGAAAACTACTGAATTAGTTCAGTTCATTAAAATCATTAATAGTCATGAAATGAAAACCACCAGAGTCCAAAAAGGCTTAATGCCCTATCCATATTAATTAGATGGGAGCAAATCTGAAGTGAAAAGCAGCACATGCTTTGTAGAATTAGCAATTGCTCTCTACAGACTACACAGATCTCTATTAAAATTCAGTTTAATTAAAATTGATCACGTTAAGAAACTGATGTGGTTAATTAACCGAATTCCTAGACTTCTTTTCACACATTTCACAGATGCATTGTATGCCGCTTTCCTGGGTGACAGCTTGCGGTTGCACAGTGAAAATCTTGATTTCACAGGTTAACCCTGCATGTTCCATGGGGTCTCTAAGTTGCAGAGCATCCACCAACAGTGAATTCAGAAGGTGGGGGGGGAGTCTGGGAGTCCTCTGGACTTGAAAAATCTCTCTATGAAACATCCATTGGCAGCTAACATTTTAGAGAAATGCAGATCTAGATGTATACCTATTGAAATATTTCTTACCAACCAAGCAAAAAAAAACAAAACAAAACCACGAGCTAATGAATGCTGGGGATGTCAGTGGATTTATAGCATTGTACACCTCTAAAAAGAACATAAATAAACTGATGTGCTAATACAAAACTGCAGATTGCTGGAAGATCAAAGTGTGCCAACACATTATGCACATGTCTCCCAGAACTTACACAAGGACACAGAGATTCATTAATTCATTCATTCATTCATTCAGTTTGTTTGTTTGCCATGGACTACAAAACAGAAAAAGTTCCTAGAAATCAGTCAGTCAGTCAGTCAGTCAGTCAGTCAGTCAGTCAGTCAGTCAGTCAGTCTGTCTGTCTGTCTGTCTGTCTGTCTATCTATCTATCTATCTATCTATCTATCTATCTATCTATCTATCTATCTATCTATCTATCTATCTATCTATCTATCTATCTATCTATCTATCTATCTATCTATCTATCTATCTATCTATCCTGTTTCACAAACCACTGGGTTTTTGTGCTAATAGACAAAGTCTGACAGCAAACCTTGGAGGAGGCAATTTCCTCTCTTTCCATACAACCCTTTGCATATGCAGTGGAATATTCTTCTTTACTCCTCTGCAACACTCAGAACTCCGTTATGTTAGAATTCTTGGCCCTCCGGAGTAGATAATTAGGGAATATGGGGGCTGCATGTGAATAGAACAACTATATCTGAGATATTCTAATATATTTCTTCCATCAAAGTAAGGACCAAAGAAGTGATTGATGCTTGTTATCTTTCAAGTGCATAATCTTTCCCAACTTGAAAATTAACTAATACTTTAAATTAGATGCACTGTGAGCCAAACTAAAAGTTCTATTCACATGTAGCATGGCCTTACGATGTTACCCCACAACGTTACAGGGAGACTCATTTAGTGGTACCAGAATGTGATGTGTATAATTGTCAGTTAGCAGTATCCCTCCACATTCCACAGAGAACAAACAGGGCAGTCTCGACAAATAAATAGACACAAATCTGACCAAAGAAAGAGAAAAAAAGAAAAGAAAAGAAAGAAAGAAAGAAAGAAAGAAAGAAAGAAAGAAAGAAAGAAAGAAAGAAAGAAAGAAAGAAAGAAAGAAAGAAAGAAAGAAAATAGACAAAAACTCAGAGCAAAAATATATCGGTCTCACTGATCTCAAAGGTCCATTGTAGAAAAATAGAATTTCAAAAGATCTGAAAAAGGAAAGCTGAAATGGGCTATATCCATAAAATACAGAATGCATCTAAAGGCTAAAACAAACGTGGCAGGCCACTCTGATGTCACTGCCAACTCAGGCCTCTCAGAATGCCCACCACACTACTTCACACTCGCTGCCGCCAATTGTAATGACTATTTAAGGACAAAGGTTTCCTTCAAAACAAAACAGGTTTATTGAAATAACAAAATAAAATATGTAAATCACAATTAGCCAATCAAAATGTCAATAACTGTATCTTATTTAATCAATCACAGACTTCCCTCACTGACCACTTAGGCACGCAGGCCTCTAAACAAGCTCTTTCTCTCTCACACTCCAGATCTGATCTCTCTCACTCTCTTCACCCCCCTTTTTTTCAGTAGAGACCCCACTGTACTTCACACTCGCTGCCGCCAATTGTAATGACTATTAAGAAGGACAAAGGTTTCCTTCAAAACAAAACAGGTTTATTGAAATAACAAAATAAAATATGTAAATCACAATTAGCTAATCAAGATGTCAATAACTGTATCTTATTTAATCAATCACAGACTTCCCTCACTGACCACTTAGGCACGCAGGCCTCTAAACAAGCTCTTTCTCTCTCACACTCCAGATCTGATCTCTCTCACTCTCTTCACCCCCTTTTTTTTCAGCTCCTCCCTCGTCAGCGCCACCCTCCGTCACCCCATTGGCTGATGATTCACTGCCCAGCTGTGACGGACAGGTGAGGTCAGGGCTGCCTGTTACAGCATCTAAAGGCTAAAACAAAGACTGGGCATTCTTGAATGACTATATATATTAATTATCTGTGTTTTAATACCAACTTCTTTATACCTCCAAAATTATCATCTGGGTAAAGCTCTATCCTGAGCCCAAGCAGAACTTATTGCTTTAGCAATTGAAAGACTAAAGTCTTACCACTGTAGGCTAGTCAACAGACATTTTTATTTTACCTATTGCTACTATGTTTTTGTAATAAAATTTGTGAAGTTCATTATCAGTGGTAACAATGTACTTGACACCTTCTGTATTTCATATGTGGCCTTGTCTCACACATAGTCATGCACACTGTGGCCTTAATATGTGATTTTTCCATTTGAAGTACTGTAGAATATAATCCATAATATCTCATGCTGAAAGAAGTCCACATTTGTAATCCTATTGGTATTTATACAGGTTTTGTGCAATTTGCTGCAGTTAATTACAGCTAATTGATAAGATGCCAAGCATTACCTCGCTTGCACAATGAGGTGCATGGCCTGCCTCATGACCAAGAAATGCCCCAGCATCTCATTGATTAGCCACAATTGGCCATGGCAGATTTTATGAGAACACCAAGAACATCATGTCTTATTAGTATCGAAGTTGCCACAAGCCTTTTTGGTTTTTTTTGTTTGTTTTTTTGTTTTTTTGCTCTTATTTTTATCCTAGCTTAGAGAGAGGGGAGAAAAATGGGCTCTGGTCTGTCTGAGGAAGAAAAGAGAGTAAACATCACTTATATGTGCTTTGTTTCTTATAAGAATCTATAGAGATCCCCATCACTGTTGATACGTAGCTGGAAGCTATGTATCAAGATGTATGTCTGGCTCAGTCTTCAACAATTGTGATGGAAACCCTGTCCAATCTCCTTTGGAACTAGGAAGCAAGGTGATCGGCTGGGTGGTACATATAGCCAGCCTATCCTGGAGCCTGAAGGAAGAGGAGGCTAGAAGGATGAATGAAAGAGAAGGAAAGTGTAATGGAAGAAAGATGGTGTGTTGTTGGCCTGTTGGATTGTAATTGGAGAAGAACTGAAGCTTAGATCTGTTCCCAAGTTGATGTTACTTTGTAATAAAGAGAATATAATTTTTCATTCTTTAACCATTGGTCTGCTGTGGTTAATCTGTTTGACATCTGAGCGTCCAACCCAGAGGCAGGCGGTGCTTCTTGGCCTGTCCCATTTTGAAGAGACCCTTGTACAGCAGGCCGAGGCAAAGAGGCAGTCCTGAAACCAGCAAAATCAGGAAGCTGGACAGGGGACAGACTGTATTTGTCTTCAGTGTGGAAGGGATTGTCACTCTCAAAATGGCCTTCTCAGCCACATTAGATGCTGTTCCAAGACCTGTATTCAGAGCACATTACCATAGTCTCTCGAGACTGAAGGATGCCTACAATAAGCCTAGGTTGGGACTGGTCACTTTCGTAAGAAAGCCGGGGCTGTGAAATGGTTAGAGTGTTGGACCAAGAGTGACATTCAAAGTTGAAATCATCACCAGGTTGCTGTGAGAGAAAAACAGAGAGGAACAGTCATGAACACCCACCTTGAGCCTCCCACAGGAAAGGTGGGATATCATTTGAACAAATAAACATTTTTTTCAATAAATTAAAATGGAAGCCAACAAGTGAGTTTTATCATGTAATCTGGAGTGGTAAATTTGCCTTCCCCCAGACAGATGGATTTTCTGCTCTGTTGGTTGTAGTCTCTGTTAATAGTTTAGAACAGGTTTGGTTGTGAACGGAGCTACATTGAGATATGTGTGTTGCCAGATGACACCTCCATTGCTGTTTCCCATATGACCTAGTCTATAAGAAGCCTTTTTATGTATGAAGAAAAGCATATAGGAACTGCGTGCAATATTCTTATTTCTTTCTTGAAATGAGGGATATGGCCAAAAGAGTGAAATGTTAAGCTGAGGCTCTGGATGTAAGTTGAATGGAAGAAGACGAAAAGGCAACAAGATTGTGCAATATTTTTTTCCTGCTTACACCACTGGATAAAGTTATAATTAGGAAAGGCCCTGAGAATAAGGAATGCCATTTAATGTGATGTTTATCTCTGGTCGTATTCAAGAAAAACAAAACAGTAGTTGCTGGTTATTGTCGCTTTAGGTGTGC